AGATTAAGAAAATAATTAATATTCAAGGGAAGAAGTTAAGAAAATAACTCACAACTTTAATAATCAACAAGCTTCAAGAGCAACACCAAGAAATGGAAGTTTAGCTCCTCATTTGGAGACTAAACATAATATAAAAATATAAAAGAAATACTATTCTAAACTGAGCTTAAGAGTATGGAAGAAGGGATTATCACTTGTGAAGGAAAATGGGGCTATTTATAGGTGTTTTTCAACACCTTTGGCCGGGTACCCGACCGGGTAAAGTGCCCACCCGACCGGGTGCATGTCAAAATCAAATATCTTCGGCACGTTCTGGTGTTCCGGGTCAAGTCGGACCCGACCGGGTGAAATACCTCACCCGACCGGGTGATGTAATTTCCTGAGCAGTTTCGCATTTAAATTTCTCACCCGACCGGGTGAAATACCTCACCCGACCGGGTGATTGTCCTGGGCAGCCAAGAATTATTTTTCTTCACATTCAAAGTCTTCATTTCCAACACCATAAATCCTAACTCTACTTTACAACTTACAAATGAGAACTAAAATACAATTACAACTAAAATCACACAAATGTTTATAAACTAAATAAAATGGTAAACAATCCACACAAATCAAACATAAAAAGACACATTTATGCACTACTAATTAGTGCATATCAGCCGGCCCACCCTATACCCGGCGCCGGCCCGTCGGATTTTCGCACCAACCAATCCAGTAGCTTACCCGGCGCCGGGTAGGCCTGATGGCCGGCGCCGGGTAGGCCTGATCCTACAAATACAAAAGATCGTGCTGAGATATATTGATGGAAAAAACTCATCTTCCTCATGAGCTAATCAAATATATCTTCCATGCTTGATTGTTGGGCTCGAATAGACTAAAAGATGTCAATCTTTAGCCTATATAAAGCCCCCAATTCATCAAACAAGATCATCATTCCATCCTTGGAGCAAAAAAATTCACTTTTTATATTTTATTTTTGCATTCTCTTGAAGTGTTGGAGAAGAAGCCATTTCTCTCCTCTACAATTGGTTCTAGGTATTATTTCTTGTATGTTATTGTATTTCCTTTATCTTAGTTACACTTTTGTAATTAATATGAGCATTAGAGGCTAAGTTCTTAGCTAAGGCTAGGGATGAACTTCTATGCCCACTAGGTGTTTGATAAAAGTTCTAAACCAATAAATTGTGATTTATCCTTAACATTTTGATTGTTTATGACTATGGTGTACAACATAGAAGTATGTTAAACTTAGTTTATACTTGCAATTAACGTTGAGGTCTAAACTATGAACATTAAAGGATAAACATATATATTACCGAGAATAGAAATATATCCGGTATTATATGATACGGGTGTGATGTCTTGATATTCAACGGGGTTTTCGGTAGATGAATGTAAGCCGTAACGGGACTTACACGTAACGAAAACCACGCTCTCGCTGCCTTAACCGGAGTTGAGAATATATTGGCGACATCGTATTCATAATTATTGGTAAAGACCTAATATTCAACCCTATTAAAGCATTTAAGTGATTCCCGAAGCCTTAGTTGTTGTTATCAATCACTTTAATCAAATTAATTCAAGTTATATCTCTGAAAATTAAAAAGAAGAACCAAGTTGTTGTTTTCACAACAACACACAACTCAAAATCCCTGCACTTTACTCATTTACTTATTCAAAGTCATCTACTCGCGGACTAAATTAAACAACGTTTCCCTGTGGATTCGACCCGGTATTTTACCGGAATTTATTACTATATCGGCACTTGTACACTTGCAAGTTCAGCCCGGTCATTCCAATAAGACATGAATTGTATATATGTACCAATAAATTCATAGAAAGTGCAGTATCTGATCGGGTATTATTGACTAAATACCTTAAGCTCCAATGACAATCGGTTACCGTAATTCAGTAGTATCAAGAACTTTTTTATCTTAACAGTGAAGGAATAGATCATCAGGTATCTTAAGAGATCAAACTACCATTGGTTACATACGTCAAAGGATGAGTTTTATTCATGCATATATGTAGAATATCTTCAAAATTTGGTTTAACCAAGCTAGTCTTTCATCTCAAATTCTTTCATGAAATATTTTATAGTATTTTCTATTTCATCGAGGAGTTCCAGTGATGTTTAAGCATCAACATATACTATAATTTTGGGGAATTTTTTAAATAGATATTCATTGAGACGATTATACAACAATAGTCCACATTATATTAGTCATACATTGAATTTTTTTTATTTAATGGAAAACACATATCGAGGTTTCGAGCTCTATGCATGAGACATTTTAAGTCCCCATAGATTTTTTAAATGAATGTTTGTATAGAGTGATTCATATAAATATGCAATCGCCACATCTATTAGGTGCATTTAATTTGTAGCCTTTCAAAAACACAACTACAAATTAGATTTTAATGTGAGTGCACTGGCGCTACTGGGGAATAAGTTTCTTCATTACCAATTCCGGGCATTTGAGAGAAATCTTGGGCGACTAATCGAGCTTTAATTTATATCTTACGGTTTCAATTCCCTCATTGTATTTGCACACAAAGACCCGTTTAAAGTTCACTGGTTTTACGCGGTTTGGCGTAGGGTTTATTGATTAAAAAACATCGCATTATCTTTTAAGCGATTTCAATTTCAATCGTGTATTCGTTGACACTCATCAATCGATGTTGGTTCATTATCATTTTTTTCATTCATGACATTCGTGTAAACGGCATCATAAGAAACATATTTCATTGAGACTTCATAATTATCAACATTTCGATTAGTATATCTAGAACACCTACCTCATTTAAGCAAGTTGAATCTTTATTTGATATGTTTGTTTTGTTGATGTCATTTTCTATGTCAATATTTTCAATTTGTTTATTATCTTGTTCAAAAGGATGGATTTTTTCGGCATCATAAATCAATTCCTTCTTTTTAGTCTTTCTTGATTTCATGTCCTTTGAACTAAGTGATGAACTACACTTTTTGCACATAGTGACATAGAAGAATCATTTACAAGATAATTAGAATTCTCCACAGGGATTCTGATCCTATCAAAAATATGTGATGCGAGACTGTGACTCTGTCGAATTATCTTTTATAAATGAATTATCTTTTAAACTTCCTTTTCTTTTTCACGTAGATTTTTTTTAATTAAGATGAGATCATCATGTTACATTGCATGCAATTTCTTTCATACTCAGGAGTCAGGTTTATTTTTCATTTTATCCCTTTAAAATCGGGAATATTATTTCATTTCTTTTAAAAAATTACAGAACATTGGGAAAATTATAGTAGTATATTTTTACAAAAAGTTATACGTAGTACAAGTTTCTACTAGGAGTGGGCACTCTTCAGATTGGTCCGGGTAATTGATAACTTTTTGGAACCGCCGGTTTCATTAAACGGGTAGTTTCGGTCCGAGTATACTATACCAAATCTTAGAATAGGAACCGGACCTATCCGCCCCATTTGAAACGGGTCGGATTGGTCCGAGTTCTCGGTTCTTTTTTGCAAAACAAAAATACATCTATGTTAGCAAAGTATCTAGTAAATTATAAAATTCTCAAACTAATTAGGTATCAATGTGACCATAATATAGTAGAAATTCAAAATAAAAATATAAAACCACATTTTAAGTTAGTTAACAAAATATCTAATGATAAATCTATAAATTAAATAGCACACAACCACCCAAATTAAATAATACAGAGTCCGTCCCGCAAAATAGTTCCCGATTCCCTTTTTGGGCCGTCCCAAAAAAGAGTTCCCATTTCCCCTTTTGGAAAGTTTTGTGTGGCTCACATTCATTTACTTTTTTCCTACAAAACCACAACCATACATTTCCATTTTATTCTGACTTTCTTAAACTCCGATCCAAGTCAATGCAGGAACTATTTCATGGGACGGAGGGAGTACCAAATTTTGAAATGTAGAGATTTTAGACATCATCATCCATAAACTAAAAAGATAGAACTATATAATCATAAGAAATTAAACTAGTTACTATACATATTTGTCTATGAAACAATTTACATCTTATTTAATCTCAAAACATAAGTAAAATTAAGATAATTAAATGAATATGTCACACTTCATTGAGTATGAGTCTCTTTTTACAAAAAACATTGATGCATTTGGAATAAAGAATTGAGGAAGAGTTTATATGGACTTTGAAATTCTTTTTTAATAGATTGACAAATGTATTTAATTGAGAGTCTTCGTCTAGACGACACAAAAACATGAAGATCTTATTTGTGTTAATAGAGTTTAATTATTAAAATAATATTATAAACAGTTCGGTCCGGGTACCTGTTTTATCATATTTTAGAAACCGTTCGGATCCTAAGTTTTTAAAGACCCGCCCCACCTCAAACCATTTGGGTTTTCTAAATTTAGGACCCGGTCCTAACCCGCCTCAAACCTATATTACCCGACCCGACCCGCGGTTCCTGTACCCGTTTCTCCACCTCTAGTTTCTACTATCTCCCCCATCAAGAAGGAATCATCCGACATATATTGGTGTATATATACATGAAGGTGAATCATGCACAATTCCCAAGTGCTGTAGCTTTTTAATTACTTTCATTTATTATTTCGATTATTCAACCCATATGATCGTTGAAGATGTGAACAATAATGTATGTAACAAATAAAAAACCTAGCTAGAACGTGGGATTAGGGCTTAATTAATTGACATTGGAGGTGGTGGCCTGGGAAGAAAATTATTACGTAGTATTTTAATTTTAATTATAGCTCAACCCATATATCCTCGAGGTGCACTAAAAAGTTTGCAATCACAGTCATAAAGTATATATACGGAGTAACAATAAACTAATTAGTATAAGTTGGACAAGCAAAGCAAGCAACATGCCATAAAAAACTATGGAATCTTTCAGTACTATAAATAAAATAATGCCCAATAAAAATAGAAGTTAATTAAAAGCATATAGTGTACGTACGTATAATACACACACTAGCTAGAGTGCATGACGCTTGAGCTTATATATGCATTTTAAACTACCACACAAAAAAAATATCAAAGGGAGAGAGAGATGGGGAGAGCCCCATGTTGTGATAAAGCAAAGGTGAAGAAAGGTCCATGGTCTCCTGAAGAAGATGCCAAGCTCAAAGACTTCATTGACAAAAATGGAACTGGTGGGAATTGGATTGCCCTCCCTCAAAAAGCTGGTACTTGCCTTTTTATGCACTTTTTTTCTTCTTGGCTGCCATCTCTCCCTTCTCCATCATCTTGAAGTCAATATATTGGGAGAAAATTTTATTTCTATTTAATAAATTCTAAGAACTTGTTTACATGTATGGCATGTTGTTGATGATGATTAGGGCTAAAGAGATGTGGGAAGAGCTGCAGATTGAGATGGCTAAATTATCTCAGACCAAACATCAAGCATGGTGAATTCACAAATGATGAAGACAGAATCATTTGCAGCTTGTATGCTACCATTGGTAGCAGGTATATATATAGATATTTTCTATCAAATCCATACATATTTGAGAGAGAAAGAGCTTAATTCACTAGCTTAGTTGCCCTTTACTATTTTCCCACAATTAAAAACTCAATCTTCATTCATCAAGCTCCTAGCTAAATATATACAATTTGCAGTTTTATTTTCACGGTTTTCAATATTTATGTTTAACCATAACTATGTAATATTGTGCACTTGAAAAACTTCTACTCTATAATAAACTAGTCAATTCAAAGATATTTATGCTATAAAGGAGTATAGTTTTTCGAAAACTGAGGATTTAATTTATAAAATTTTACTATAACAATCAAAGCATGTACTTGATTAATTTGAGGAAGAAGGTAGTATATCTATGTATGTATGTACTCCGTATTATATATAACAGAAATTGTATACGTAGTATATACTATTATGACTAACACGTTTTCTCAAACAGGACCACCATTACTTTTGACTCATTCTCTCTAAAATGAAGTTATAAACTTTTTATTCTTTTGTTATACTAGTAGATAAATGGCTCTGATTTGTATACACATTACTCATGTTCTACTCCTGTTTGAATTAACAAAGCAAATAAAATATGAAGTACAAGAAAAAATATATCTAGGTTAGGTCAACTGTACTAATTAGTTGTTGAAAGGATAATAATAATTTTTTTGATGAGTTGAAAGACTAATTATGGATACATGAATGGCATGGCATGGCAGGTGGTCAATAATAGCAGGTCAATTACCAGGAAGAACAGATAATGATATAAAGAACTACTGGAACACCAAGCTGAAGAAGAAGCTCATGTCAATGATGCTCCTTCCTCCTCCACCCCCACCTCCTCCCTCATCTTCTTCCAAACAGCACCTTATGATGAGGTCATCATCATCATCATCATCTTCAATAATACCATCTGCTCTTCCTCTTCCTCCTCCTCCTCCAAGTGCTCTCATCCCAACCGCCCTGCCACCGCCGCAAAACCCGTTCACTTCTTTTTCTGCAGGCGGCGGTGGCGGCGACGGGCTTGATCAGCAACCCTTCTCCCTCCACCACTTCTACCCTACTTCAGCTGATTATTTCATGTATGAAAATAACAGCAGCTTTCATATATTTCAAGAACATCATCAGGGTTTGATGAATCCTATAATAAATATAATCCCTCAGTATCATCATCATGAGAATCAGGTGTTTGTGGGGAGTAATAATGATCAGGTGAGTGGGTCCTCCTCTGATGGGAGTTGCAGCCAGATCAGCCATGTTGCTGACACCTCAATAGTTGATCACCTCAAGCAACAACCTGACACTGGCAGTAAACTGGTGATGGAGGATGGGAATAATAATAACTTCAGTTTCCAAGGTGATGAAAATGGTCACCATCATCAGGGTGGTGGTCACAACTTCTTCCTTGATTTTGGCAGCCCTGGTGCTGGTGTTGATACTCATCATGATGATCATGAAAACAGCCATCACCATCACCACCTTGGGATGTGCAGCAATGGAGGGCAGTTTGGGAATACCAACAACACTGATGATGATCAGCAGCAACTGCAATATGATCTTGATGTTGTTAGGGACCTTGTTAGTTGCAGCAGCAGCACTAATAATGTGCATGATCACAATTCCAACATCAACACCAACAACTTCTTGATCTTTGATCACTATGAAAACAAGCCAGATGGTCACAAGGGAATGTACTTCTACTAATCACGACAACGACGACGATGGCGATGACGATTTGTTAACAACGCACTTATCGCATGGAATGTTCTACCCTACCGCCCTCGTGTATCTAGGGCAATCAGATGTACATTAAACGATATGTGTGAGATCTGATGGTCCTAGATACATGCGATTACTACGTACCCACCGACGGGGTAGGGTAGTAGAAGCATAAGCAAGATTGGAATTAGAGATGGATAATCATCATTTTTTTCATGGAATTTATGGAGGGTAGCTATGCTAAGAAGTAGTGTTTATGTATTTAATCAATGCACATTTGAGCGTTATTAGTTCCCATTTTAGAGGAGAAGAACTTTGTTAGTTAAGTAATCATATTAGAGAGTTCCACTTTATGATGCTTTTAAATCATGTTGTTTTATGTAGTAAGCTATACAGTCTAGCTGTTGGAATGCAAATGTTTCTTCTCTTCTACGATAGATTACAATGTTTTTTGTCATTTCGATCTTTTATTTAATCTAGCTCTTCTTAATTAAGTTATGATATCTGATCATATCATTCTGGGCCTGACAGTTTTGACCAAGCAATATAATGCAAGTAAAATATAAAAAGATCAAAAAAATTCACAATAGGAAAAACGTACAAAGTATATATATTGACTGTTTCCTGAAAGATATGTATGTAGAAATGGCATATCAAATTTCACACTTCTCGGCTGCAATTGAATGCATGTGTAGTGCTAATAAATCAAGGGCTACTATATTATATTGTCATTATATTGTACACAATTTCATGATCAATAGTTGTCCTTTTATATTTATATACGAGTATTTACTAATCAAATAAAATAAAAATATGTCCTTTACGGTTTCTGGTAAGTGGTACCACAAGTGTGTTAGACAAGACAGCTATAGTTGGACCTTGTTTATGTACGTAGAAGCAATATAATCCTACATTTCCCCCTTTCCCAACAATAACTATTATTTTACTCTTGGTTATGGAAAACATAGAGGACACGTTTTATCAGTTTTCATTGATAAATGAATGTTAATTTAATATATGAACGTGCATAATGAACACTTCACAAATCAAACACACAATTAAATTAAGGTAGATTCTATGGTACCCCAAATGTACCATACCTTTGTCCAAATGGACCAATAAGAATGATGCAGTTGAATTATTTAAATCTAAATTAAAAAACATATAATGATTTGGACCAATCAAATGCATGGTAGGTACGGTACCCCATTTTTTAAATGGGTACCGGAGTTGTCACCTTAAATTAAATAGTGTTCAATTCAAAAAGCTAATACTATAATGGCCACAAATTAATCCATAGTGATTATTGAAAGTGTGATTTGTATTCCTTAATACTACCTATGCCCCTATTCTATGAAGCACGGAAACTCTCCACGGCTCACGTTTTCACATTTCGGAAACTCGGAAGCGTTTCGGAAACTCGGAAACTTCAAATTCCCGTTTCGGGACCGTTTCCATAATTAACAAAAATTTAGAAACCCGTTTCACTACGTTTCGGAAACCTCTGATTCCAATTTTTTTTCTTTTTTAAAGATTCTGTGGTGGAAAATAATTTTTTTTAATATTGAATTTTTGTTGTATTTCTCAGCAGCAACACTTGTTACATTTTGTAACGCAATGTATTGCTAGAAATGTATAACTGATCTATATATTTTATGTTTAATTATGTACTAATATGAAATAATATCTAAATTCAAACATGTAGAGTGATTTTATTATTTGGTTACTAAACAAATTATATGAAAAAAACATGTGCATATGGAAAAACTTGTGTACATATATTAAAAAATATTTATAAATATATTCTTATATTTTATAATATTTACACGTTTCCCCCACATTTCGTGTCCTATATTTTTTAGAAATTACGTTTCTCGCGTTTCCCGTTTCCCGTTTCACGTTTCCCGTTTCGCGTTTCCGTGCTACTTAGCCCCTATTTAGAGTTCACATTCACTATTTATGAGGCCAATTAAACTCTCTTAATCTTGATTATTTATATCAAATTTTTAATAAAAAAATTCTAATATATATAAATTTTACGGAGTATTTATTAATAATAATTTAAATATTTTCAGGAAAGATTTAACTTTACTATGATTGACCATAGTAATTAATCAGAAGTGCTTATTGGAAAAATGGAGTATAATTAAGGATGAATTTGATTTTACACTCCACTTTTCAAACTAATGAATCCCATTTGTCCAAAAATTGTGAAGTAATGATGGTGCAAATTCAATTTAATTTAGGGTAAACAGGATGCACAAATTGATGATTCTGAAAATGGGATGTAAAATCCAAAATCACTTAAAATGGGGTATAAAGTTAAATTTCACCTATAATCGAGTTGTGGATATATGAGGCTTCCTTCACAAGTGAATACTATTTTGACCGCAATTGCATTTTATTTGAAATGTTCGAAATTATGAATTATAAATACAAGTCAATATTTTCACATGTATGGTGCTTGGATTCACAAAATTTACACTTATACAAAAATTGGCTCAATAAACTAAATATGGACAAAGTTAAGAAATTGTTATTCCCAAAGGCTGACTGGGTTCCATTTAAGAAGAATAAATCGTCAAATTAAAATCTCTAAAATGGGAATAAATGAATCCTATTATGGCAATTAAAAAGTGATGAAATGCTGTTTGAGAAATTGTGATGTCTTTAATCAACTCCAATTTAGGGAACTTTATGTATTTTTATTCCATGGAGTAACTACATAAAAGTATAAAACTTTGTTTTGTCAAACAAAGAAGTTCCCGTCAAACTATGCGATAGCTAAAGTTGAATGTGTCAAAAGCTCTTTCATAATTCGGATGAGGTAAGTTCACGCATTTGTTGCTGGCCGGCCTGGTGTAAAATCATCATTTGCGTGAGACCCTTGAATGGATATATCATATCATATATGAGCTCATGAGCTCATATCAAACAATTGATAATGCATCTAGCTACCTGATTGAAGTGCAAAAGAATTACAAGCATTGTGAGCGTCTTAATAGTAATACAAAAAGTTTTTTACATCTAAACTTATGAATTATTTGTAGGTGAGTGTTACGTACTCACAATAAAGGTACCGTACCGGTAATACATTTAAGGCGTATTTGGAAAATAGCTAGTGTTTTAGTCTAAAAACAGTGGTTTGACAATGTTGATCCTTATTGTTTGGCAAATAGTTATTCGGCTCTGGCGTTTTCGGGTAGAATCACTGAAATTGAAACGCAGCAAACAACAAAGTATTAAGTTTATCGTTTTGAAATAGGGAATTATGTAATAACCGCTACGGCCAATAGCTAAATTATCGGTTTTTATTTGAATATTACTAATTTTGAATCAATTATCAAAAAAGTGAACACTTTTTAAAAAGGGTAAAAAAGTGATCAAGAAGATCATATATTTGGAAAAATATAGTGTCTGCCAGATTTGTATGTCACTATTAAATTTTATGTCACTGTAGCCGCCCCTCATGTCACTGTAGCTGCCGATCATGTCATTGTAGCTGCTGCACGTGTCACTGTAGCCAACGCACGTGTCACTAAAGTCGTGGCCTGTGTCATTATAGCCACCGCCCGTGTCACCGCCCGTGTCACCGCCCTGGTCGACGGCGCCTCCTCCGAGCACGGTGTCATGACCCCAGTGACGCTGCCATAGTTGCACCGCCACAGTGACACCGTCAGTGACACCGCCCAGTGACAAGCCGCCAGCACCGCCACACCACCTACACTGTCAAACCGTCCACTTCCCCAACCCCTCCCCATCCCAATCCCCCTGCCACCGTCACAGTGACTCGACCACCGCCGGTCGCCGCCACCAGCCACTCACCCTCAGCACCAAGATCCAGCCCCCAACCCCTCGCCCGCCCCCACCACAGCCTCCCCAACACCATTCCCAGACCTTCCCATCACCGTCGTCCACTATTTCCCTCTCCCTTGCTCCAGGCTGCCAGCCCTGCCACGTCCACCTACACTTCTCCATCTCCAACCTTTGTCCGCCTGCCTAGCTGCCTCTATCTCCGAACCCTAGCCTCAGATCTGAAATTTAAAGCAGCCGCCGCAGATCTGAAATGTAGGTCAAGACGTCAGTAAGGCCTTGATGGACATGCACAGACGACAACCAAGGCAGTGGTGGGCGATAGAGACGGCCAATGCAACGGAGGAACGGCGGTCAGACTGCTCTATGCGCGGAGGAGATGGGCGGTGCTCTGTGCGCGGAGGAGATGAGCGGTGCTGTGTGCGCGGAGAGGAGACAGGCAGTGATCTGTGCGCGAAGGAGATGAGTGTTGCATCGATGACTTGCTTTGTCCCTAGGTTTGTGCACAGCAAGGAGGATGAAAGTAACGAAAGTTCTTCGTGTGCAGCAAGGGTCGGGTCAAGAAATCAGGGTCACTTTTTTGTGAAAAGTAAATTCAGTCATATTTTTGTCTAATAAAAGATGAGAAGAAGTGTTTGTGCCATTATTTCGCTAAATTATCAAATATTTTTTGTAACCTGTCAACTCAACTTGCTAGTCAAATCCACTGACAACATATGCTATCTACGATCCGCTAGAGTAACCCGCTTACAGCTGACCGCTAACCGATGATTGCCAAAGCACACCCTTAATTAGTTTAGGTCATCATCTCATTATGTATTAATACTCCTATTTGAATTGTTCAATTACAATATTTTAAATGATTCATATTATCATATAGATAAACTAGGGTACGGTGGAATTTGTCTTTACTTATAAAAGATGATAGATCATCACAAATTCACAATGACTTCGCATAGGGATCTTAACTATATACGGAGTATATCGCAGCCTGAGCAATAATAGTTTAGATGGAATACGAACGAGAAGAGTTTAAAGGATATGATGATACAAGTCGTTAGAGAGGAATGTTTTGCCCAAGTCATCAAAGTTATAATGTGTGGATTGGCATTAATGTTGAAAAGTAAGAGAAATTTGCCGATTCAACCTGGTAGAGTACAATTTCTTGCAACAAACAGATTAATCTACAAGACTTCTCCGTTAGAGTACAATTTCTTAGGGGTGGGCAAAAATACCGAAATATCGGTATACCGCACTTACCGTACCGAAAAATACCGGAAAATACCGAAATATTGGTATACCGTCATTTTCGGTACGGTATCATACCGTACCGGTCTATTTCGGTACGGTAACGATAAATGTTTTCAAATACCGCGGTATACCGGTATAATACCGTACCGACTCCCTACTCAACAATTACTTTTAATTTTAATATATTGTAGAAATCCATTACAATTTTGAAGCCCAAAATTAATACTTAAGTTGGTTACAAATACAAAAATACAAAAATAAAAGCCCAATTTCTCAAACCCACTATAACCTTATAGGCTTCTACTACGCTAATCTTAAATGACTAATGAGTAATGTACAAATGTCAAGAAACAAGTCTATCTTGTTCCAAGAGCTTGCAAGTCGTGATGGCTGGGCCGCTAAGTAGCTGACGAGTGAAGAGAGATACACT